ACACAATGTTACTAACCCCATCTTGGGGTATATGTTTTAGTATGGGCCAATTTCACAGCTCTATAATGTCACTTTCACACATAAATGTGATTGTGTTAACATGTTGTGCATAGGAAGCATCCTATATTTTCACATTTTAGTCCAAGCAATTTTCCATAATTTTAATAAATATTTTGGTATAAAAGTTAGTTGTAAACTATCAAAATATAAATTTTAACAAAATTCATCAATGTTGGTCTATAAACCACTCAAATAACGCATTGTAGACCATTATTTACAGCTTATTATGAAAATCATATTTAGAAACCATGTATACCACAGAATGCGTTGTCCCGTTTTTACAGATGTTCATATACAACGTATATACCGTATAAAATGACATTTGTTTTTACCTGTAATACTATGCCACATATATTATTCGTTTGTAGTGTTTGTAGTTTGTAATGAAAATATAAGTTTTAGTTTGTAAGTTTTTAGGAGTGAGAGTAATATATTTCTTAATATATATCTTGATTTAGATAAAACTTATTTGAACTTGATAAGTTTAACCGGTAATAATAATGCAATGTTATACGGTATATACGTTTTATTTGAACACTCGTAAAACGAGGCAACGCATTCTGTTATGTATATGTATAGTTAATTGAAAAAAGTGATGCAACATTTTTATCTACAATTTCACATTCTGTAATTTCACACAACGAAAACTACGGTCCCAATTATGTGAAATTAGACGACTTTAAGTGTAATATTATCAGACAATGGCTGCATATATATCATCAACAGGTAAAAGATAACAATATGTTTTAACTTATATTTTAAAATTTATTATATGTTTTGAAACAGTTTCTGACCAGAAATCAAACTTTTTTGACGAAAATTTCCAAACGTTGTCACATATAGGGAGGGGTGGGTTCGGAGAGGTATATCACGTGAGACACAGTATTGTAGGGCAAGAATATGCAGTGAAAATGGTAAAGTTCCTTGGTAATTACATATTACAGTATTTCATATAGCTAAAATTTTTAAACCAATCATTCGTTATGTTTACTTAAAATTGACATAAATTACAGACACTTATGACGGACACAAACGACAAGAAATCTTAAAAGAAGTGCAAAATTTAGTTAAATTGCGTTCAGATTTTGTGGTCAATTACCGCAACTTATGGTTAGAACACAATCTTCTTTACATTCAAATGGATTTTTATACACAAAATCTACAGACGATTATCGATAATAAGCACATTGTGTTTGGGAGACAACCGGAAGAGCCGATGAAAGTATACGAGTATTTCATTTCTTGCGAAATACTTAAAGAACTGTTAGAATGTGTAAAGTATTTACACGACTCGTGTCCACCGGTTATCCATCGGGACCTCAAACCGTCAAATGTTTTGATTTCACAAAATAGTAATAATAATCGGTTTCTAAAATTTTGTGATTTCGGTTCCGCCACTTTCCATAACATGACAATAACATCTATGAGTCACACCTCTAATGTCGGTTCTGCGCAATATATGGCACCAGAAGTATATCAGTCCAGATATAGCATTAAGGTTGACATCTATAGCCTGGGAGTGATTGCATTGCATTTGTTTAATTTATTCAATTTGTATGTCAATAGAAATTATCAATATTTTTACTTTTAATGTATTTTTATCAACATTTTATTAGAGAAAATCCAACAGAGAAATACAATTCAACTGCATTTTCAGTAAATTTCAACAAATTATATGAAATAATTGGTCAAATGTCTCATTCAGTTGTATCCCATCGGCCGACCAGTGGTCGAGTACTCGACGACTACAACCAGTGGTCAGTCGGCGGACGAATCATTACTGAAAATGATTAGGAATTGAATAAAACATTGAATACACTTAAAGCTTATAAAAACACATTTTTCAACGACTTGTTTATGTGTAAATTAAAATCTAGCCATGTTCCAACTACTAATCTGAGTAGCAGTTAGAGTAAACGTAGGATTCCAAGCAATACCAACATGGTATAGCACATTTAACCAATTTAATTAATAACCAATGACAACAATAATATATTAGTTATTAAAGTTTTATTAACTTGTATCTTTAATAATTAATTTTATTTTATAATTTTATAATATTTCAGACACCCACAACAGATGGCCCAACTAATTCTGGTCAAGCAATTAGTATTAATATAACTAATAATGAAAACCTGCGTTTGAATGATGTGGTCAATCAGTCAACGACACACTATCACAACAAATAATAATACTCTATGTCAACGACAACAAAGCGTGCATAACTGTGCATTTGTTCGCATTAAAGAGCATCATACCTTATAATAGGTTTATTGTTATCTTAATGCATTCAAATATGTTGTTATCAAATATAGAGAGTTGTGGATTGCATTTTGGGTGATGTATTGTAAACAAATGTAACGGCATTTGTGATTAGTGTTTGAAAATTTACAATTAATTATGTCTAGTTATAAACTTTTTTTAAAGCTGCGTGTTCCTGTTCTATGTTATTAGCATATTTTAAATTACATTTTCACTATACTAAAAAGGAATATATTTACATTACAAATTGCTTAGCCCATTCTGGTTGGTATGTACATGTTCAGTACGGTCCATAGATTCATTTTCAGTTGAGAGAATCTGCTAATGGCCATAAACGACCGAATTATGGACAAAATTAGAAGTAATTACATTGAATTCAACCAACGTTAAAAGCAATAAAAAGTTGTGATGAATGGTGATTCACACATAGCACAGGGCCATTCACCAAAAATCTATGCATTGAATGCTATGGTTGCATTGAAAACATAACCTCAAGAACCATATTATTAATAACATAGATATTTGGATGTAGTATAAATATATCAAACTAGTTAGAGTTTATAATAAAAATCATTATACCGTTAGGCGTTATACCATTGGTATCAATAGATTTTAAATATAGTATATATCATGCAATTAATATAGTATCACTATTTTTACATATTGTTATTTATAAATTATACTAACAAGCGAAAGCCAGTTACTTAAGTTACCAAATCTTAATAAAATGCCACTAATTGTGATCGCGCCCATACAGCGTATAGCAATGCAATACTAGTGATTAGCCTAAGCACTGTGTGGAACACCGTTTTTCAATGCTATACCTTGTGTGGGCGCGATCACAAAAATGGCCATAACTCGGTCGTTTATGGCTATCAGCCCGAGATATTGAATTTATATTTTTTATTTGATCTAAATTATACAATTAGTGGCCATTTAGTAAGATTTAACAATTTCAAAAAACAATTATTCTTTGTAAGACCTAAACTATAATAAATTATCAAAAATAAAATGTAGAATGCCCACAGTCTATTTTTTAAGAAACAGACAATAATTAGTTTTTGTTAAATATTGCATATTAGTTGTATTATTAAACAAATTGTTATTTTTCAATTTTTGAACTAATGTTGATTTATATCTATTTAAAGTTTGAATTTATGATTTCCTTGTTATCACAATTAACAACCATATTACACTTTAGAGAACTTATCAATAAATAATAAACTCATATTTAAAACTTTATCTATATTATCAAACAAATAAATAATAAATATTTGTCTGGCTTTATTATCAATGACTATGGGTAATAAATCTGACAAAATTTTGTCTGCTACCCAATAGACATAACAATAATTATATGCAAATAAACATGTCCATATTTGGCATAAGTTATTTTTCAAACCCACCTGAATTATATTGAAACTTTTTGGTTGCCTAATTCTCACACTCAACCAATTCTTGTTATTGTTCACTGATAACTGTTTTAATCTTTCTCAATATTCAGGCCTTTATCACAGAAATTATATTACAAGTAGTGGTTGAATGAGTTATCACTAAATATAATGTTTGCCAAAGCAGTTATTTATAATGGAAAGTCATTAAACTCCTACACGAAAACAGTTAAATAACTGCAGGCAATGAATGGTAATGTGTAATTTCAATTATTTGCTTATTAATAAAGAGTGAAGTTTAATCTTGTGAGAACATCTTTTGGTTAATTTCTCATATATGTTAAATTAATTAAATAAAACTATAAAATATTATTTATCATCAGATATAACATTTCCATTTAAAAAAGGGGAAATTATTCGGGACGTAATTTGTTAATCAAATTTAGCCGAAATTTTTAACCACAATTCAGTATGAATAATGTGATTTATAGGATTGTGCGGCCCCCTCCCCCTTAAGTCTATGGAAAAAGCTCCATAGGATTAGCATTACCCATGTTAAAGTTTGCCATTACCTTAAGCTGTAATCCCATGTTAAATCCCATAGAGCGGGGGAGGAATAAAATTTATTTTAATTTTTAAAATTAAAAATTTCATATGAATACTTTGTTAAAAAGCTGTACTCTATTTGTTTTCTAAAATCATGAGAAAATTTGTCAAAAATCCTTTTCCTCAAAAACTGGAGTTCGTAATGATATTGGTAATACAAGTAGCGGTAGAATCAGACATACCTTAAATACTATGTCTCCCAACGCAAACATTATTAATGTGAAGTCATTAAACCCCTACACGAAAAATGGTTAATAATTGCAGGTAATTATGTATGTCATTTTTATTAATAAGCAAATATATCACTTGAATTTATATTTGTTTAAAAATAAAAATAAAATTTTATCTTATGAGAAAATCTGTTGGTTAATTTCCCATTTACGTTATATTAGTTAAATAATACTATAAAATATTAGTTGTTTTCGTATATTGCATGAAATTCTACTGATAGAACCATGGTTTCCTAAGATAACTACTGATTATAACATTTTTATTACAAACAGCATAAGTATTTAGATTTATTATATATTAAACTATTGCACTATATATAATTTATAGAATACTTATAATTTACTATTAATAAATCGTCTCTTGTTTTGTGAGGTATGAATATATTAAAAATAATAAATGATTTATAGAATTTATTATCAAAATTTAGTTTTATTAACTTAGTTTTAAATTTGTTTTAATAAAAAATTGTTTTTCAAAAGTATTATAATATTTTTATTTTAATATAAATACCAAAATTTTTTATATGGAAAATCAATTATAGTTTAAAATCATACTATCGCTTAAAATTTGTGCTTAAAAAAGTTGAAATTATTATTATATTAAATGTCATTAAGCAATTCAAACACTAACAGCGACATGGATCAGGTTTTAACAGGTAAATTTTAATTCATATTTGTAGATTTGTTTTATTATTATACAGTCTGCACCGCATTTATCGGTCCAACATATAACGTAAAACCGCTTATAGCCGAATATTTTTGCTGCACCGGCAGCTCCTATGGGTGTATAACGATATTTGCACCACTAATAGCAGAATCGGTTGTAACAGAATACCGCATATAGCAGACAGTAAACTAGTGACGTGCAATGTTAAACAGGTCCATATATAACGGGAAAGGGTTATAGTTATGGTTAAAACTATTTATCCTCGTATTTTTAATAACCATATTGATGAAATAATTTGTAGTGTTTATAAAATTAGTGTTTTAACAATAAAACAGTACTTTTAACATGTTTTTACACATAAATACAGGTCTATAATTGTAAAATATGTTTAAATAGGCGCCTTTTTGGCAAAATGTACAAAATTCTATTACCGGGAATAACAGAAAACCGGTTATAACAGAATAGAATTAAACTCACCGAGGCATTCTGCTAAATGCGGTGCAAACTGTATACAAATTTATATTATAAACCATATATATTTGTCATTATATTATAATTTTCAGTATCGACAGACATGTCAAATAGTAATTTCTTTGATAAAAATTTCAAAAAATTAAAACATATTGGGAAAGGTGATTTCGGTGAAGTACTTAAAGTGGAGCACCGTATTGATGGAACGGTGTATGCGGTTAAAATTGTTATGTTAGAAGGTAATTTACATAATTATTGACACTAATATTATTTTATTATAATTTTTATTTATTAAATATTTTAATAAAATCTATAAATAATAACATAGAGTGTTACCCATAGGATAACATTAGCACTATGTTAACAGATGCCATAGACTTAGGATTAGCAAATTTAAAAGTATAGCCATACAGTACAGACCAATATTCGGTTTACAAGTATTTATACTAACGGCTTTTTCACAAGTTTTTCATTGTACACATCACTTAAAAAAATATAAAATTTCAGTGTTTGTTCAAAACATAACTTTTATTCAATACAAAACATACCAAAACAAATCATTTAAAAAGATGTTCAAATTGTACACCCCTTTCCCCTTCACACATTCGTAAACGATATTCCCAATTAACCTTGACATTCTTTAACATTTCAGGGGTCATACTTTCAAAAGCGAGTCTAATCTTATCTTTTAGGTCTAAACTTATATTCATTAACAGGTGTTCAAAAAGATAAATATGTCTTATGATTTGGTGAGTGAACAACAACTGATAAAACTCGTGATTGTTTTCCCTAAGGGATAGCCTTTTAACACTAACTATACTGTGACTTTCCTATTCATAGTATATATCCTTGTAAATGAACATAAAAAGTTTTCTGTAGACCTAGTATGTTAAATCCAATTGGAAAAGGTTAAGCGTGGCCCAACAATTCTAAATTTCTTCATATATGAAACGTGGTTATAATGTAAACAAGGATCACACAGCGATGCTATACTTTAATCACAATTCGGGTATTGCTTAAAGAATAGATTAGTTTTATCTACACATTTAATAAGAGTTCATAAGATGCACTCCCCAAAGACATAGCAATGCTCATAGATCCAACATTGTCATATACTCAGTATTGTCTATTAATTTATCACTACTAAATGCATTAGTCCTATAAAGATGAG